CATCCCCAACGTAGCATCAACTTGGTTTGCAAGTGCAAGCGAACGTTGACAGACCCCACCCCATCCCCAACGTAGAATCAACTTGGTTTGCAAGTGCAAGCGAACGTTAACAGACCCCACCCCATCCCCAGCATAGTATCAACTTGGGTAATGGTGAAAACGTGGAAATTCTCCGGGGCCGTTAGGGGGGGGCGTGAGCATAAACAAAGACTTCAAAGGTTGTAGTTGGATCCAACACAAAGCAAGAGGCAAGTGCACTTGGACCCCCGACGTAATCTGGCGCTCATTGTCAGGAGGCAGCCCTCCGTAGTCATTGAACTCCATGGGATATTTCTTAGCTCCCAAAAAAAGCGCGTATATGCGCGGCATAAAACACACACATCACAGATAATTCAGATGCCAGATTTCATAGTCCAGACCCAGCACAAGACTTGGTGCTCAGATTCCTTGAGAATCCTGAGGGCCAGTCTGTGCGGAAGGGCCAGCCACGCCAGGGTTCGTATTCTGCCACGCGCAAGGCGCGCGCGTGAGGAGCAGCAACTGTGGTGCATTTTGTGACATAACTCCAGGACTTATTGCATTAAGCGTATAAATAATCTGATAGACTCTCCAGCGGGACTACATACCGAGATCAGGGACTCAACACTCCAGCAAAACTCTGGTCTGAAGTGACCAGTGCTTCTGGAGTGGGTAAGTTGAACCCGGAAATTGATGTCCCAGTGGATCATCGGCACACCTAATCTCCTCAAACCCGCCGGCGAGACTCATTGCGTTGCCCAGGACATCTTTGGCCGATGGGAAAATGTCAAGCCTCAGATGTGCATTTTAGGCGATCACTGCAGACCAATGCCACCGAAGCATCTCACAACCGGAATCGGTGAACACGTTGCCATTTCTGTCGTTCCAACTTCTGCCTTGCTCAAACTCGGGGGGGCCAGGGCATTCCAAGCTGCACTGGCGGATGCAAACCGTCGTCTTCTGGATGAGCGTTCTCAAAGCCGCAGTCCGTGAACATCTAGGCGTGGCGTGGTGATGGCCCAAAACCCACGACTCTGGCACATTCAACGTGGGAATGGAACATCCTTATTGAAGGAGGAAAGGTCAAAAAAAACACTGGGTGAGCCAGGAATAACTCTTTTCCATATGTGCATAGTGTGTAAAGAGTACATAGACATATTCAGTTCAAAGGCAGGCAATGAAACTCATGGATCGCAGGGGAGTGCCCTCTAAGTGTCCATCCGTCTTTTGCCAGAACACCGGCAGCAGGGGAGGAAGCCCACACCATTTCTCGCAAGCAACAACATCATCCCCCTCAGCACATTCAGCATCATCTGTCGCTAAGAAACAAAGGAAGGTCTAGAGGTCCGAGAAGGAGAAGCAATACGATACGACAATAACACAATAATAGAAAAAAGGCTGCTACTCCGCTGAGGCCAGCTCCCACTTGTTCAGCCCTTGGGATACAAAGCACGTGGGAAAGCGCTGTTAAACATGTTGTTTTGCTCTTTCTTTTTTGTCGTTCATTTGTTTCGTTTGCCCTTTGAACGCCCTTACATGTTCTTTACCACATCCAGAAATTGGTTTCAGTCCAAGGTTCAATTACTGGTTAGGGCCCTGGCGACAGTCGTACCATGCACCACCACCAGCACAAATGGCTTTCTCAGTCGCAGGTGGCTAAAGCATGCAATGCCAAGTCTTGAACTTCTGCAGTTGCACTCCCAGTCTTTGCGATCTTTGTGAAACGCCCGAGGCCCACACGTCTGGGTCGTACGGAAGAAAACCTAGGAATAGGAATAGGAATATCAATTGATATCGCGTGATCTGTGTGATATCAACGAACGGTGGCCGAGCAATGCCCAGTAGTCAGTAGTCATCACTCGACTTGCAAGTCTTGCCTAGCCCGATTACAACATAGCTTTAGGATGCTTTAGGACAATCCTGGCACATTGACTCTTGTGCTCAGTTTTCAACCCCCCCGAGTCCTTCGAATCACTCGTTCCAGGCCCGAGAAACCTGTGCGCAAGGGCTGTGCGCCATGGCCATCGGCCCAGTGCGACGCCCGGAACATCGGCCCGTACGCAGGTCGTTCTGTACGCTTAAGGCTAGGGTTCTTGCAGTGAGTGATAGAGGAGGACAGGCCTGTCCACAAAACGAAGAACATCGGCCCATACACAAAACGGGAGAGGACAGCCTTGGGACTGAAAGCTTATGCAGACTTTGAACACCTGTTTGAAAATAGGCAGCCTGTGGCATTGACAAGCCTACTTAGGCTGCTGGATGCTTCTCGTTGTCAAAGCCTAACTTACAAGTAGTTAAAAGCAAGCAGTTCATGTTATGAGTAATTAGTCTAAGCCCGCATAGCTCTGCGAGAGGGAGGTATGCAAGAATCTTTTGCATCCATGCTCTCTTACAATATGGTACTCTGAAGCCTGAAAGTCCAAAAATGCAGCGACAGGACGCGTTTCGCGTAGACGTGTTTCAGGATCTTCAGGGCCTTTATGGGCCATTGCTTCTAGGTTGGGGGCCATTGCTATTAGGCTGGAGGCCATGGCTATTAGGTTGGAGGCCATTGCTAGGTTCGAGGCCATTGCTATTAAAGTTCGAGATTCGATTGCAAATAAATGTGCGCATTACGGCTGGCTATTTTCACAGATCTGCCACGCGGGACCATTCTTCCTGAGATCTGTGTGGGTTCGGCCTGTGCTCGGGGACAAGTCCCAGAGGGGCTCGTGAAAGCGCTGGGAAGCGGGAATCGGAGTTGCTCCGGAAGCAAGATTTGGGTATGGCTCAAACAAATCGCCCACGGTCAGGCGAACATGGCGAACCAAACACCAATAATTTTGGCTGAAGGGCGCTATTTTTGAGCCATACCTGTTCCATTCCATCCGAAAGTCTCAAGCAAATGTTGAAGATCTTGCCTTTCACAATGCGTCATGCCAAAACGAGCGTTTCGCCCGTGGGCATTTGCATTCAGTCCGTCTGCAGGAGATATCTTGGAAGACCATGAGACTCAGTGAGACTCGATGAGACCAGGGAAGGGTGGAAAAAAATTGCACAAATTGGGCCAAGTCGAGCGCTAAAATATGGCTGGCCAGCTGTCAGTGCATGTCTCAGCGTCAGCGTCATTCAAGGTTCACCCCACCTTGCCTGGCACAGCTGATTCAGCGGCGAGGTTGAATCGAAAGAAAGGCGAGAACTAGATCACTTCGAAAATATGATAGCAATGCAGTCAGCATCAATGGTTTCATCATGTTTCATCAAGTTGTTCCAAGTTTGATGTGCTCATGCTAAGATAGAAGTCAGCCCAGTCAGCCCAATCAGCCCAGTCAGCCTCAACTGCTTCTCTCGGTAGCCCATGGCCACCCCCAACCTTGGCGAATAACACCCTCAAGCAAAAGAATCAATCATCCAGAACATCCTGACCACAGAATCTTTCTGCTGAGTTGGTCTACCTTGTTATTTGGAGCTGTTGTTTGAATGACCTGCTGACCTGTTTGTTTGTGACGCACTGACAGACTGAGGAGTCGAACCGGGCACTTTGCGCTGTATCCAAGAAGTCTGCAGTGTCAGAGACCTTGTAAAGGCTCTCTTTCTTGGAGCACGAAGCGGTTGTTTGTGTCTGACCATGTTGATTTCACAACATGAGGCTCATTCAAAAGAGAAGTAATTGGTGCCGAACACATTTTTGCATCTTGGCATACGAAAAGACTGAAAGGCGCAATCTCTTAAGCTGCCATAGAAATTGTTACTCATATTATATAGTTACTCATATCTGTCATATCCTGTAAAATGAATGTCGAGGTCCCTCTTCTCATTGATCCCGAATTCCAACCTCTCTCATCATGGCATGCATCTGCTTGGAGAACGATTGATGGTCCATACAGTATTGCCTGGCAAGTTGTGTGCAATGTGCAAAAACACTGAAGAAACTGCGGAGTTGGCTCTCCTTTAGCCTTTGAACTGATTGGTGTCAGCAGGCAACAAGTCCACAAGGTTACCTTAGATTAGGCCTCCCACTACTGTTCTCTTGATGAGTGCTTGGTGGGTTGCAAATTGTCATTCTAATACTCTTACAACTCACTGGATCAAGCCCAAAACGGTTTGGACAAGGAGGTCATGACAAACCGTTCAGATTGTCTGCTTCCACTGCCCACATTGTCTTCCTCATACCCAACCAAATGCCTGCACAAACGCTCCAGGGATGTCCAAAACGTCGTATATTCACCCAGTCGCTGCTCAAACCGTTCCTGCAAAATGGGGGAATCAAGCTGCTTCAAGAGATACTGTAGCATTCCAATGGCTGCGGCATACTGAGGTCAAACGGGTGACATTCTCCAAACGAAACCGCAAAAGATCTGGGATGCTACTGTCCAAATGGCAGGACCGAGATAATTATAGTTTTCCGTCTTGAAGAACTGGCGCAACGTTGGAGTCGACGTCACGGGCAATAATCTAATAATACATATATCATATATACTATGCTGGAATTGGTCAACAAAAAGTTAAGTTAACAAAGCTTGCCAAACTCTGCATTCAAACAGCAAACACGTGTAATTGCTGCCCGTCTCACTCATGCAAAGCATCTATTTCAGGTCCCCAATACCAGTCCTTCAATGGCTTGCTACTGTTGGCAAAGTTGACCAAGCATTCCGTGTGCTCCTCGAACAGGGGGAGACAAGTGCTTCCGACTGATCGAAGCGATGGAAGCGTCGCTCGAAGCTATGGCACGGGGTCGCTGGTCCTTCATCTGCGCAAGCTTTTGAACGGTGCCATCCATATTGGACCAAAAGGCTGAGCACCCCTGATTGAGTGAGACAGGCGAGCTGCAATACTGCAATGTGTTGTCACATTGTTGAAACCTTTGCTCACAAAGTGATAACTGTAGCGATGCCTAGTCTTACACTCAAACCAGCTGCACGCTTCAGAGTCAGCAAAGAAAACAAGCACCATCAAGCACCAGTTGGTCCTTCATCATCCTTCCACCCCAACCGCCCGGAATCAATGCTGCCTGTAGAATCTCATCCACTCGTTTGAGTTCACGCAAGGCCCGGAGAAGTGAGCCTGAGGTCTGATTCACAAAGGCCTTAGACATCGTCCGCCCGTGTCTGGCGGTGATGACTCGGAGCTCTTGAAGAGAAAAACGTGACGATCTCAACTCGGACCAAAACAAAACTGAATTACAATTTATATAGTTGTTACTTAAATATAAAACACCCCCTATCCCCTTCATTCGTCGATTTAGTCTAGAGTCTTATATGGGTCAATTCTTATTATTCCACCTTTTTCAGGCAGCCGAACACGATCCGCCGATGGACCCCTTGACCCGCCGGACCCGCGCGCCGGGGCTCGCACGTCTTCGTTCATGGTCGTATTGGGATGGTACTGCACAATCGCATCTTCAGCTTCAGCCTCGACCTCTTCCATGGCCACGTCCTGAAGGTCAGGCCGTTGCAGTGCACCGAAGGGGCGATCTTTTTTTTCGACGTCGCACAGGTCGTCAGACTGGTATCTGAGGGATACAAGATCAAAAATCCCCCGCGGGTGAGGATGAACTGGAGTGGACTGGTGAACTATGGTTTGGCATCCCCAACTAGAACAGCGGCAACCGTAATGTTGACATATTGATACATACTGTTACTATGTTGACAACCCCTCAGGTTTTGCGAAAAACCGTTTTTGAGCTTTGCAAAAATTAAACATGCCCTGCCAGGATGTCCAACACGGCAAAATTGGAAAAAAAAACATCCCAGAGTGCTCCTGTTTCAGTATGTTTCAGTAGTGGGCATATTCAAACCATCTCCATTGCCTTAAGTTCCTTCGCTTCCCTCCTCGCTTAAGGAAAACAAAAAAGGGATGGTGTTTCAATGAAATCCGCCGACCCTCTGCCACGTGCAGGGGCAAGGCCTGTCTTGTGGAAGGTTGCTTGTTAAGATTGCTTGTGTGACTTTTCATCTTGTGTTTAGAACGTTCCTTAGCGCGGATTTGTCGTTTCCCTGACTTCACCCCCCACCCCAACCTCTATCTGGTCTCACCTCTATATGTACGTACATGACTGACACATTTCATGGCTCAAGACTGGGAAAGCCGCTTGCTTCACGCTCGACGTTGCACTTGATATGTCCGTTGCACCTCTCTCGAGACTGTGTTCTTTCCAACGGAAATCCACTGCATTGCACTTGTGAGTGTGAGTGTGAGTGTGAGTGAGAGTGAGAGTGAGAGTGAGAGTGAGAGTGAGAGTGAGTGAGAGACGGAGAGAGCGAGAGTGAGAGAGTGAGAGTGAGCATCTGACAGCACGCCTCAGAAAGCACAGACTGCTGCGCCTGCCACGACGAAAGGCACGAAATCTGCACTTCGAGAGGTTCACAAAGTGTTGCGCCTGCCACGAAATCAGCACTTTGAGGCTCACACGAAATCTGCGCTTCAAGATTTACATGCGGCAGCCCTGACAAGGCGTTTTGCCGCAAGAACCTTTCCAAAGACAACACACAAATACCAAAGCGATCCAAAACGCAGCTTTCGCGCGAGATTCCCCCCGATTTCTGAAAACGAGCCACATGCAGAAAAGTCACAGTTCACTGCACCTGTTCACTGCGCCCAGCCCACCAGATTCTGCGAGCCTGCGCAGTCGAAATGCACTTCGAAGATTTCGAGAGGCATGAATGTACTGTAAATAGCAGCGAATTAGCCGGACATGGATGCGCGACACCTCGATTAGACACCGGCCCTTAACTCTTACCGTAAGAACCCCTAGTGTGACTACACTGCTTGGTGAAAAAAACATGAAAAAACCACAGCCTTTCTGGTTTGAACGTCTTCCCCTCGTCTCTCGCGACGACCCGCCCTTCGGACCCTTCGGACTTTTTGAACATCCCTTGGAGCGGCCCGGTTGGACCGGCGGAACGGGTCGTTCGCAAAGGGAAAGCCAGTGCAGCAGTAAAGTGAATTAAACCAAAGCCACTGCCGGTCCATGGTCACGAGGCGCGCTTGTCTTGGAGCTGGAAACCGTCTGCCGGGAACATGTTTGCCTTCTTGCATACCAATGCGTTTAAAACCTTATCAAAGGCAATCTGAGTGCTTCCCTCAATCCAAGCTACAAAAGGTCAATGCAGTATTGCATTTATATGGTTTGGCATGAAGGAACTATACAACTCTATCTCGTTAAGTAAGCCGTCACTAGCAGCTAGCAGGAGCGACTTCTCTTCAAGTCGTTCTTTCAAACTCCCTGAAGCACATGATTTGTCAAAGGTTCCTCACTCCGGCCGGCAGCGGATTCCGCAAAGCTCAACCTGATTGGAACCTTCTCTCGGGCGTCGGCCTCGATCTAGGCAGTGCGAGAGGTTTGTTACAACTTCAGCGAAGAGGGGCGCTTAGAATGCCATCCATCCAACTGCATTCAACCACCCTTACCATGGCAGAATGGCTTTACATCCGCGCCGCACAGGAGTGCTTTTTCATCAACAGCCAACAGTATGCCCTCAGAGCTGTTTGGGCCAACGTGAGGGAGGTGGCCTCTCAAGTCGAATTGCGCCATTCTGAGTGAATGAGTGAGTGAGAAACACCAAGCACGAGCGCAACGCATCCAACCTTCAGACCAGCCAATGAAAAGCTCGCCGTTGGGCCGCGATCGGCCCTGCGATTCTGCGATCCGCTCTGCCATCCGTTCAAACGCAAGTGTGGCATGTGGCACGCGACGCCTTCAGCCGCCGAGTCGGACCCAGCGCGGGTTCGCAGGTCAAGGAGCAGCCCGGGTCGGTTTTGGTGACCAAGCGACACTTGTGCGCAACCAGCGTCAGAGTTGGTGAGAAATCCTTTGACCTGCGAAGGTTTGGAGCTTGGGGTGCTTTACGAAACCGAGGTAGTTGAAGTTAGTTTCTCACTTTGTCACTTCAGCTGCTTGTGGTGCCCGTTGCACCTATGGAAACAGCCTCCGTCTTGACTCATGACTGCAGTGACAAGTTCATCGCCTGGAGGCTGAAGTCTGACTTGTCTGACTTGCAAAAGAGCGGCTACGAACTATCTCAGATCAAGCAGGATCATGGGTGATCGTGGCCTGCGCAGAAAAGGTAGGCTCCATTTTCAAGCAATGTAGCGCATATCTTTCTGTTTCTTTCGTTCAGAATGTGAGTGTATTTGCTTGCTTCCCCTGCAGGAGTCGGTGAACCTTTGGCGTGGTTGAGGATGTTGTCTTCTGCAAACAACCCCAACACGTGTGACTTGAGACCGTGTCAAAAGAAAGCATGTGCGAATGAAATGGAATGAATGTCTGTCTGCTTCCGGCAAACAAACCGGACACAAAACTGTGGCATCTTCACTTCTTCATTTTGCTCGAACTTCATCTGACCTGAGAACTCAGGGGATGAGGCCAAACGACCTAATAAATGTCCAAAGGCAAGCGGTCAAAGGTCAAGGATGTCACCTTTTTTCTTGGATGGACATGTTGCTTGGTGGTTGCTGTATTCAGCCAATATTGAACACACCTGTACAGGTTAGATTCGGCGAGACTGATGCAGGGTCGGCAAACATGACAAAATTATGCTGACCTGAAACGTACAACTTCATGAATATAAGTGGCAAGCACAGGTTCACACCTGGTTTGAACATCCTGCTTGGGTGAGTTCAGGGCCTTTGCAGGCTTTGATTGTATAGTCTGTATAGTCTATAGTTCATGGACCTTCTTTTGGACATGACCTAAGTCGCTACGTCCCAAGTCCAAAGGGTCCGTTTAAACTTAGGGATGGAGTCTGTCTCATTCAATCAGGACCAGACTATATAGACTCAAACCAAGGATGGGGCCGAGCTTGGGGCAGAACTGTGCAAAAGGAATGTGAAGGAACATCAATCAGCTTTGGTCAAGGCAACATCCGCAAGTTGGGGTAGGCATTGCACATGTCAGATTAGGCTGGCTTGATTGAGTCGGCCACAGCTGAAGGGCGTCCACTTATGCACATGTTTCTCATTCAATGCAAGGGCCTACGTGACCTTCGTCTGACCGTTACCAAGAAAGCCCCATCTTCGCTTTGGGGCCATCAAGCTAAACATGTCTATGGCAAGCAAAAGAAGCTTGGATGGGAAACTGCCCCGGGTTTGCAATATGTAGAATATATTAAATGCTGCTTGGATCAAATTTGCATCAGCGCAACATACGTCAGTGGTAGTGGGACGAGTCAGCGAACCAAACAGCTTTAACCAAAGATGCATCCAGGAAAATCGGCAGTTAGCATGTTCTTTCATTTCGCGCAGCAACAGTAGACTTGTATATAGCCAGTCTTTTGCTTGCTCAGTCGCAGTCACATTGTCAAATTCACTGGCTACTATGGGCCTCCCTTCATGAATGACCCCAAACAGGAAAGGCTTGCAAGGCGCCTGGTGGATGCCCACAACATACTTTTGCAGGATTGACAGCTCTGACAATGTGGCCGTGTTTTCAGATTGCGCACTCCCCTGCAACAGTGGAAAGCTAAGCAAGAATACTTTCGAGGAGTGCTCTTATCAACCATCGGCCATTGAGTCCATGGAAATCGATCATCCTTGACTCGGGCGCCTAGCAGCTTGGCCGCGCTTGAAGATGAGTTCCAATGAGCAGTACGTGTGATGGACTTGATGTGAACCCTCACCTTCAACGGATGTTGCTCAGGGCCTAGGCATCGAACACCAGGGCCTAGGCATGTGCAGCCATCTCTGTTGGTTGCATTGACTCAATTTGTGGTCGTTTGCATGAGGCTGTGCCTGTTGCTCGGTACTGACTGACACAAAGTCACCTGGCGTGTCAGTGCGCCGTGCGATGTCGGAGTCAGGATTTTGTGACTCCACGAAAGCAACGCCGGTTTATTTGGGGATTTTACTCAGTGAGCGCGACGCTGTTCAGTGAGCGCGACGCTGCAGTTCAGAGAGCCATGAAATGAAATATAGGCGCCTAGGAGCGTGGCAGCAAATGAAACGTGTTCGATCGAACTTATGGTAACCGCGTTTTCAGAAATAAAATGTCTCCCAACTCTAAGGCATCTGGGATGGGGGGAGGTTTGTCGTGAATAGCTTGAACATCTGAAGCTACTACAGTAGGTTGGAGGCTACTAGCAACAAGAAGCTTCTAGTATGGCTAAAAGCTACGAGTTACATACTCGAGGTACGAAACTATATGGAGCCTTCAGACCTGACGGACTAATTCAAGGCATGTCTTTCACTGTGGAGTGAGGTTTGTTGACCATCGGACCATATAATATCATATAATATAGCCCATGGCCGCTCCATCCTTCCCTCGCCTTCGTTCTTGACACAGATCCTCAGGCCCCGGTGAATTGGAAATATACGACATGGACTGTAAAACGACGATATATACATTGGCGTTGCTCGAGCCGCAGGCTGTT